GCAGGCTATCAATATTTATATTGATAAATATTGTCTTTTCTTTAAAAGTATATTTTTCCAAAAAATCTGTCAGGCAATCAGCGATTCCATAATGTATATACTCGCCGCCATACAATGGGACACAATAACCATATTTAGGTGTTCTCTTTAAAGTTCTGGAATTACATGGCAAATCAGGTGAAATACGGCGCAGGATGTGCAGAAGCTCATTTAAAGCAGATCACGATATATTGAATGCAACTGCCCAGTTTGACAATTCCTCGCGCAGGGGATTTGATCTCATGCTCTTCGGAGTCTTCAGAAAGGTTACTTTCATCACTTAAATATCCATCATTTTCAATATGGTTTTGCTCCAAATAAGCCCCTGAATCCAATATTGGTTCATTCACTTCGCCGAGCTCCGGTGGCAGAGACTCACAGCAACATAGATTCCTGGTCATCAGGGCATTTAATATTTTTATACCCTTGCAGAGGGTATTATAATTTCAGTCAAAAGTTTGCAACGCAGTGAAGGAGACATTTCCGACCCTATAAAGTATATATATTCTTGATCACCATCACCAGGAGAGTCGATCTAGCCATGTCCGTCTGTCCGTCTGTCCGTCTGTCCGTCTGTCCGTCCGTCTGTCCGTCTGTCCGTCCGTCCGTCCGTTTCTACGCAAACTAGTCCCTCAGTTTTAAAGCTATCTGCTTGAAACTTTCCCAAAAGTTGTCTTTCTATTGCAGGTAGTATATAAGTCGGAACGAGCCGGATCGGGCGACTATATCATATAGCTGCCATATAACTGAACGATCGGAAAAGCCATAACTTTGGTGTTTTTAAAGTTAGGAAGTTGAGATTTTCTATGGGTTTTATTTTTGGCTAATCAATCCGACCTACCGAATTTCATAAGGATCGGACGACTATATCCTATAGCCGCCATATAACTGATTGATCGGAAATGCCATAACTTTGGTGTTTGTAAAGTTAGGAAGTTGGGATTTTCTATGGGTTTTATTTTTGGCCAATCAATCCGACCCACCAAATTTCATAAGGATCGGCCGACTATATCTTATAGCTGCCATATAACTGAACGATTGGAAATGTCATAACTTTGGTGTTTTTAAAGTTAGGAAGTTGGGATTTTTTATGAGTATTAAGAATGCATCATATGAATAATTTTGGAGAATATAATTTACAGAATATTCTGCAAGGGTATATCAACTTCGGCTCCGCCCGAAATTAGCTTTCCTTTCTTGTTTACATTCATTTCGGCTTGATCTTTATACACTCATAATTTAAAATTTATCAAATTTAAAATTATATTTACACATTTTTTTTGTACTCACTGAACACGTCCGACTTGCACTTGCGTATTGCTAACTAACTAAGTAAATTTGTGCATTTTAAATCATCTTGCTTATCGCAGGAATCTGCATTCCATTATTTTAATCGCGATTTTTACTTTGATTTTACTTACCATCGTTCAGAATATGCTCAGACATAAGAGCTTTTTATGAGCCTATGCTTAGAGAGCACCAAATGTGCTCCGAAAACGCTCTTATTTATGTGCCGACTCAGAAAACACTCTGAAACGAGGCTCTTTTCAGACACACAATTAAGAGCGCTCCTAACTTTGCTTGCTGGGAAGTTTGTTCTGGTGTGTGTTTAGGTGTCTCCGATATAAATACCCGAGTTGCACGGTGTGAGCAATTGATCTGCTCTTATCACAAGACAATTTGGCACGACTAGCCGTTTCTGTGAATGCAAATAGCAATTTGTTTATTTTACACTATTTACGTTCGGATTAAAGTTCTGCGAATGCACGTTTCGTAAAAAAAAAACAGAAAGCAAACTTCGGCACGCCGAATATATTACTAAAAACAATGAATCTATGTCGATTTTGCGCTGCATTTGGCCATCGTTTCTATAGCAGCTATATCCGATTTTTATTAAATTAATGCTGTAATTCCTTTAAATTTAAACATAACTTACTTTTTACATTATTTATTAACGATCTTCCCTCAATTATAAGTCATTCTCGCGTACTTATGTACGCAGATGATGTTAAGTTGTGCCTGCAGTATAAGTACATTTCCTGCCATTTAAACTTGCAATCCGATCTAGATAATTTTCAAAACTGGTGCCGAGATAATTTACTAAATTTAAACGCGACTTACACGTTAAGTGGCAGCTCTTTGGATAGAATAACTCTTGTAAACGATCTTGGCGTTCTCTTGGACCCTAAACTAAAATTTTCTAATCACATTTCGTCCATGGTTAATAAAGCCAGAGGAGTGCTTGCATTTATTAAAAGGTGGTCAAAAGAATTCGATGATCCTTATTTGACTAAAACTTTATTTATTTCGCTAGGCCGTCCGATTCTGGAATATGGGTCTCCCGTCTGGAGTCCACAATACGGAATACATATTGGTCGTATTGAATCTGTACAAAAAAACTTCCTTCTTTTTGCTTTACGGCGCCCAAACTGGGATGCAAATCTCATCTTACCTTCTTATTCTAGTAGACTTCTTTTGATTAATTTACCATCCCTAGCCAACCGTAGAACGATGCTTGGTACTATCTTTATTTATAACCTTATTCATGGTGATATTGACTGCCCCGACTTGTTAAGTCGGCTAAACTTTTCTGTGCCAAGTAGATTAACTACAAATTATTTTCCCCTAATTTTAAATCATTGTAGATCTAACTATGCCTTGCAAGAGCCTTTCAGAGTATTATGTTCTGACTATAATAGACTTTTTCCTGTAATATCAAATCTTGACTCTCTGCTGCTCCTAAAACGATTGATACTTGCTTCATTGGCACAAGATTGATCTAACTATTACTTTTTTCCCCGGACCTTTACCTTTATTTTCCTATCTCGCGTCTATCTTATCGCGAATCGTGCCGTACGATACACGGCTGCGCCCCTCGGTCGGTTGGGCGGGTAAGTGGCCCGTACGACTCCGCGAAAAAAAGAACAAAAAAAAAAAAAACAAAAATTAAAAACAAAAAAGTAATAATTTTTTGGAATCTTTTTTCCGGTTGTTCCTATGGGAGCTATAGTCGCCCAATCCGGCTCGTTCCTGCAATAGAAAGACAACTTTTGGGAAGTTTTAGACTACCATATTGTAGCATACATTTGGGGCGCCAGATATTTGAATAGCACTGGACCAACATTTTTCAGCGTTGCACTTTTTATACCTTTGCAGAGGGTGTTATAATTTCAGTCAAAAGTTTGAAACGCAGTGTAGGAGACATTTCCGACCCTATAGGGTATCTTGATCAGCATCACCAGGAGAGTCGATCTAGCCATGTCCGTCTTTCCGTCCGTTTCTACAAAAACTAGTCCCTCAGTTTTAAAGCTATCTGCTTGAAACTTTCCCAAAAGTTGTCTTTCTATTGCAGGTAGTATATAAGTCGGAACGAGCCGGATCGGGCCACTATATCATATAGCTGCCATATAACTGAACGATCGGAAATGCCATAACTTTGATGTTTTTAAAGTTAGGAAGTTGGGATATATATCATATATCATATAGCTCCCATAGGAACAATCGGAAAAAAAGAATAACTTTGTTGTTTTTATACCCTTGCAGAGGGTATTATAATTTCAGTCAAAAGTTTGCAACGCAGTGAAGGAGACATTTCGATCTAGTCATGTCCGTCCGTCTTTCCGTGTGTCCGTTTTTACGCAAACTAGTCCCTCAGTTTTAAAGCTATCTGCTTGAAACTTTCCCAAAAGTTGTCTTTCTATTGCAGGTAGTATATAAGTCGGAACGAGCCGGATCGGGCCACTATATCATATAGCTGCCATATAACTGAACGATCGGAAATGCCATAACTTTGATGTTTTTAAAGTTAGGAAGTTGGGATTTTCTATGGGTTTTATTTTTGGCCAATCAATCCGACCTGCCAAATTTCATAAGGATCGGCCGACTATATCCTATAGCTGCTATATAACTGAACGATCGGAAATGCCATAACTTTGGTGTTTGTAAAGTTAGGAAGTTGGGATTTTCTATGGGTTTTATTTTTGACCAATCAATCCGACCTATCAAATTTCATATGGATCGGCCGAATATATCTTATAGCAGCCATATAACTGATTGATCGAAAATGCCATAACTTTGGTGTTTGTAAAGTTAGGAAGATGGGATTTTCTATGGGTTTTATTTTTGACCAATCAATCCGACTTACCAAATTGCATAAGGATCGGCCGAATATATCCTATAGCTGCCATATAACTGAACGATCGGAAATACCATAACTTTGGTGTTTTTAAAGTTAGGAAGTTGCGATTTTTTATGAGTATTCAAATGCAAAATATTCTGCAAGGGTATATCAACTTCGGCTTTCCTTTCTTGTTTTTTGTATATTGTAGATTTACAAAGATTTAATATGCAGAAAACATTACTATTACAAATTTATAGCTTTATTTTGTAGCTTTTCATCTACTTTATATTTGTGTTCCATTGTTTTCAAAAGTTTGGTTAGAAACCATTTATAACAATCTATCCAACATTTTTCAAAAAAGAAAAAAATGGTTTGTCACAAGACATGGAAAGTTTTAATACATTTTTTCGGAAACCGGCAAGCCACTAAAAAAAATGATCAAGCCCTTAGACACAGCATTTTTAGCATTGAGAAAGCTTCCCACTATCAGCAGTAGCCTGAGCCATAGTCGTGTCAAGCAAAACTAGGTACGAAAGCTTACTTAGCTATTCCAAATTTTCCATACCCTTTCAAAAATGGTTGGGTCTTTGATTTGATTTTCATGTTATTACATTTTTCGTTGCAATATCTAAAATTCTTCAGTTAGAAAACAAATTTTTCATTTAAATCATTAAACAATTCATGAATTTTTGTTAAATCGTTATGGTGTTAAATAATTTAATAAAAGATATCGATCTTACAGAAATTGAAAGAGAGTCGAAAAGCTTGTCGAGCTTTTATTCTAGCACTGCCCTCTATTTTAGTATTATTCTCGCCGGTATTTGTGATCCAGTTTGAATCAGAACGTCAGGAAGCAAACAACGTTAAGTGAAAGTATTAATCATGCCAATTGGTGAGTTCTCAAGTGGGTGGAGTGCATAGAGCAGTTTGATAATGGAATGCATAATTGGATGAATTTAAACGTAGGGAGAGAAGCTGGGTTTTAACCAGACACAAATACAAAATATTACCTTGTCATCATCTAGATTCAATTAACGGGAATACGCTGACAATACTGTACATTTTGGACTTTGCTGTTTCCTTTTTATACCCTTGCAGAGGGAATTATAATTTTGGTCAAAAGTGTGCAACGCAGTGAAGGATACGTTTCCGACCCCATAAAGTATATATATTCTTGGTCAGGATCAATAGGGTAGTCGATATAGCCATGTCCGTCTGTTTCAATACCGTTTGCGAGCTCAGTATAAAAGCTAGCGATCTGAGACTTTCACTGTCGTCCTAAAACATGTGTACACAGATCAAGTTTAGAAAGCGCCCCGATCGGACGTCTATATCCTATAGCTCCCATAGGAACAATCGAATATACCTTGCAAGAATTGATGATATTTCGCGCAGTGAAAAAACTATTGACATGAATCTTTCCGAATCGTATTTTTTTATGCATACCTTGATCAGGGTAAAAGAGCGTTCCGATCGGACGTCTTAAATCGGTTAAAATTGAATGATTTTCAGGATATTTTGCGCACTATATAAGTTATTGCCATGAATCTTTCCAAATCGTATTTTTTATTAATACCTTGATCAGAGTGAAAGCGCGTGCCGATCCGACGTCTGTATCCTATAGCTCCCATAGGAACAATAGGGTGAAATAGGTCCAAATTTGATGTTTTCAGAATATTTCGCGCAGTCTTAAAAGCTCTTGCCGATCGTGGGAAAAATTGTTAAAGGCAGCGAAAATATCCCTTTTTTCTATTTTTATATGACATTTTAGCAGTATAAAAGCTATTGACATGAAACTATGCAAATCTAATTTATTTATTTATTTACTTTTTCAATTTGGTTTTTTTTCGGCTAGTCTGCAAGGGTATTAAAACTTCGGCTTGCCGAAGTTAGCTTCTGTTATTTATGACCTATTAAATTGATTCTCGATGCGGTTATATACCAAGATTTTCAAAAATATGTATTAGCTGTGATGAGCCAATTTTAAACGCCATGAACTTCAATAATCAATAAGAACCCGAGGGTCAGACGAGAGATGCACCAATATTGATTATTTATGACAACACTTTTCCTGATTTGCGGGAGATGTTTAAGGTTAATAATTAAAACCTCGAAACATTTCCATCTCGCGCATATTTTGGTACAGTTGCCTCTGAAAACGTAACTAGGTACAGTTGCCTCTGAAACTCAGCATTAATCGTTTCTTCACCGCCTTTTTTGCAGAAATCAATACCCCCGATAAGTTGGAGTACCAATTCTTCCCGGCCAGCGGAGGACTGTTCACCTTCAAGGTGCGTTCCCCCAAAGATGCCCACTTGGCACTCACACCCGCTCCCGAGGATACCGGCCCAATCTACGAGATCTTCCTGGGCGGATGGGAGAACACCAAGTCGGTGATCCGCAAGAACCGCCAGAAGCCCGAGGTGGCCCAGGTGCGCACTCCCGGTATCCTAAATGCCAACGAGTTCCGCGGCTTTTGGGTGCGCTGGTATGACAATGTCATCACAGTGGGCCGCGAAGGAACTGCCGCTGCCTTGCTTTCCTACGACGCCGGCAGCCTGTTCCCGGTGAAGTTCGTCGGCATCTGCACGGGATGGGGCGCCAGTGGATCCTGGCAGTTGGATGGTGAGTTTTCGTAGCCTCTGGGGACTCAGCAATAGCACATGTGTTTTTCATCTCTGATTATTTTACCTTTCGTTCTGTTTGGCTAATGTATTGTCCTATAGTTTCATAATGTTACCCACTGTAGAGCAACTACTTACTTACTTAAATTAATATTTAATTTCATTTAATATTTTTATGATACTAAAACCTGAAGTAATTTATTACATTAACGAATTTAACAACATATTTGGCAAGGTATTTGTTATTTAATTGGGCACCCATTAAACAGAATAGAATTTCTTAAGAACTGTTTAATAATAGTAACACACAGCCAATATAAACAATATACCCTTGCAAATGGTATTATAATTTATAACAAGTTTGCAACGCAGTGAAGGAGACATTTCTGACCCTATATATATTCAAGAATATATGGTAATCAGCATTACCAGGAGAGTCGATCTATCCAAAAGTTTTATTTCTTTTGAAGGTAGTGAATAAGTCGGAACGAGCCGGATCGGGCGACTATATCATATAGCTCCCATAGAAACAATCGGAAAAAACAATTTAAGTTACTCATAGAAAAAAAAAAATAACTGAAATAGCAGTCTAGCTATGACTACCAATCTGATAAGTTTACTGGGTGTCAGTCACAATCATCGAAAATGTGGTCACTTTTTATACCCTTGCAGATGGTATTATAATTTTGGTCAAAAGTTTGCAACGCAGTCTAGAAGACATCTCCGACCCTATAAAGTATATATATTCTTGATCAGGATCGCGTCCTGAGTTGATATGAGCATGTCCGTCTGTCCGTCTGTCTGTTTCTACGCGAACTAGTCTCTCAGTTTTAAAGATATCGAATTGAAATTTTGCACACACCCTTCGTTCCTTTGCATGCAGTGTACAAGATTAGATTTCCTTTCTTGTTATACCCTTGCAGAGGGTATTATAATTTTGGTCAAAAGTGTGCAACGCAGTGAAGGAGACATCTCCGACCATATTAAGTATATATATTCTTGATCAGGATCACCTCCTGAGTTGATATAAGCATGTCCGTCTGTCCGTCTGTCATTGAATTGAAACTTTGCACACACCCTTCTTTCCTTTGCACGCAGTATATAAGTCGGAACGGCCAGGATCGGCCAACTATATCCTATAGCTGCCATATAACTGATTGATCGGAAATGAAATAACTTTGGTGTTTTTAAAGTTAGAAAGTTGGGATTTTCTATGGGTTTTACATTTGGCCAATCAATTTGACGTACCAAATTTTATAAGGATCGGCCGACTATATCCTATAGCTGCCATATAACTGAACGATCGGAAATGCCACAACTTTGGTGTTTGTAAAGTTAGGAAGTTGGGATTTTCTATGGGTTTTACATTTGGCCAATTAATTTGACGTACCAAATTTTAAAAGGATCGGCCGACTATATCCTATAGCTGCCATATAACTGATTAATCGGAAATGCCATAACGTTGGTGTTTGTAAAGTTAGGAAGTTGGGATTTTCTATGGGTTTTATTTTTGGCCAATCAATCCGACCTACCAAACTTCATAAGGATCGGCCGACTATATCCTATAGCTGCCATATAACTGAACGATTGGAAATGCCATAACTTTGGTGTTTTTAAAGTTAGGAAGTTGGGATTTTTTATGAGTATTAAGAATGCATCATATGAATAAATTTGGGGAAATATAATTTACAGAGTATTCTGCAAGGGTATATCAACATCGGCTCCGCCCGAAGTTAGCTTTCCTTTCTTGTTTTTTCATTAAAAAATTAAGTTTACTAAAGTTTAAGTTTATTTCAATGAAAAACAAGAAAGGAAAGCTAACTTCGGGCGGAGCCGAAGTTGAAATACCCTTGCAGAATATTCTGCAAATTATATTCTCCAAAATTATTCATATGATGCATTTTTAATACTCATAAAAAATCCCACCTTCCTAACTTTAAAAACACCAAAGTTATTTCATTTCCGATCAATCAGTTATATGGCAGCTATAGGATATAGTCGGCCGATCCTTATGAAATTTGGTAGGTCGGATTGATTGGCCAAATATAAAACCCATAGAAAATCCCAACTTCCTAACTTTACAAACACGAAAGTTATGGCATTTCCGATCAATCAGTTATATGGCAGCTATAGGATATAGTCGGCCGATCCCGGCCGTTCCGACTTATATACTGCGTGCAAAGGAAAGAAGGGTGTGTGCAAAGTTTCAATCCGATAGCTTTAAAACTGAGAGACTAGTTTGCGTAGAAACAGACAGACGGACAGACGGACAGACGGACAGACGGACATGGCTATATCAACTCAGGAGGTGATCCTGATCAAGAATATATATACTTTATAGGGTCGGAGATGTCTCCTTCACTGCGTTGCACACTTTTGACCAAAATTATAATACCCTCTGCAAGGGTATAACAAGAAAGGAAAGCTAGTTTCGGGCGGAGCCGAAGTTGATATACCCTTGCAGAATACTCTGTAAATTATATTCTCCAAAATTATTCATATGATGCATTCTTAATATTCATAAAAAATCCCAACTTCCTAACTTTAAAAACACCAAAGTTATGGCATTTCCAATCGTTCAGTTATATGGCAGCTATAGGATATAGTCAGCCGATCCTTATGAAGTTTGGTAGGTCGGATTGATTGGCCAAAAATAAAACCCATAGAAAATCCCAGCTTCCTAACTTTACAAACACCAAAGTTATGGCATTTCCGATCAATCAGTTATATGGCAGCTATAGAATATAGTCGGCCGATCCTTATGAAATTTGGTAGGTCGGATTGATTGGCCAAATATAAAACCCATAGAAAATCCCAACTTTCTAACTTTACAAACACCAAAGTTATGGCATTTCCGATCAATCAGTTATATGATTAGCTATAGGATATAGTCGGCCGATCCAGGCCGTTCCGACTTATATACTGCGTGCAAAGGAAAGAAGGGTGTGTGCAAAGTTTCAGTTCGATATATTTAAAACTGAGAGACTATTTCGCGTAAAAACAGACAGACGGACATGCTTATATCAACTCAGGGGGTGATCCTGATCAAGAATATATATACTTTATAGGGTCGGAGATGTCTCCTTCACTGCGTTGCACACTTTTGACCAAAATTATAATACCCTCTGCAAGGGTATAAAAAAAAACAAAGTGACAATATGTCCGATGGATTTGACTCAATATCAGTAAACTTGTGACGCTTTTTAGCTATGAGTAACTATGTTAAGTTATATTTATAATTTAAAATTAGACTACAAGTCTGATTAAAAAATGAATTTTCAATTAAAACAAGAAAGGAAGCAAAGCCGAAGTATATATACCCTTGCAGTTATTACAAATCGTTTCTATGGCAGCTATATGATATTGTTGTCCGATTTTAATTTAATTAAATCGTAATTCCATAATATTTAAATATTACCAAATCCCAAAGAACAAAAAAAAATTAAAAACCACAAAGTTATAATTTTTTTGAATTGTTTTTCCGATTGTTAATATGGTAGCTATATGATCTGCCTCGTTACGGCTTATATACTACCTGCAATAGAAAGAAAACTTTTGGGTCGGAAATGTCTCCTTCACTGCATTGTAATCTTTTGACTGAAATTATTATACCCCCTGCAAAGGTATAAAAATCGGACATCCCTTAGGAAAATCGAAAAATTAAAAAATTACCAAACAATTATCAGTAATTAAAAAACTATAAAACTTTTAAATTTAAATTTCTTTTTTTTTGTTTTCTAACTTTTTGTATTGCGGCCGACATTTCTTGTCAAAGTAGTTGAGAATATCCCTTACAGGCACTCTTCCGCAAATAAGATTTTTGAATTTTAGCTGCTTGTAAAAAGTGTTTCCGCTGGCGAAAAGCGTAGTACTCAGATCGACGAAATATGTTCGTCAGCTATAAAGCCTAGTACTCAGATCGAAAAACGAGTTCGCTAGCGTAAAAACTTTAATCTGTGTGACCAAAATTTCGAGAGTTCATCAGAATTAAGCGTGCTACGGTCGTACTGTCAATCAGCTGGGTTTTTTGACAAGCAGTTAAAATTCAAATATCGTATTTGCGGGAAAGAGCCTCTAAAAGATATTATCAACTACCTTGGCGAAACAAGTCTGCCGCTGTACAAAGAAATTAAAAAACAAGAAAGGAAAGCTAACTTCGGGCGGAGCCGAAGTTGATATACCCTTGCAGAATACTCTGTAAATTATATTCTCCAAAATTATTCATATGATGCATTCTTAATACTCATAAAAAATACAAAATTCCTAACTTTAAAAACACCAAAGTTATGGCATTTCCAATCGTTCAGTTATATGGCAGCTATAGGATATAGTCGGCCGATCCTTATGAAATTTGGTAGGTGGGATTGATTGGCCAAAAATAAAACCCATAGAAAATCCCAACTTCCTAACTTAACAAACACCAAAGTTATGGCATTTCCAATCGTTCAGTTATATGGCAGCTATAGGATATAGTCGGCCGATCCTTATGAAATTTGGAAATCCCAACTTTCTAACTTTACAAACACGAAAGTTATGATATTTCCGATCAATCAGTTATATTATTAGCTATAGGATATAGTCGGCCGATCCAGGCCGTTCCGACTTATATACTGCGTGCAAAGGAAAGAAGGGTGTGTGCAAAGTTTCAATTCGATAGCTTTAAAACTGAGAGACTAGTTTGCGTAGAAACAGACAGACGGACAGACGGACATGGCTATATCAACTCAGGAGGTGATTCTGATCAAGAGTATATATACTTATATTTATATTTATTTGCAACGAGGACGAAAGCTAACTTCGACAAGCCGAAGTTTTAATACCCTTGCAGACATTGCCGAAATTTCTAGAATTGAAAAAGTAGCGAAAAGAATAAGGTATACGTATTTTTTTGGCCGATTTCACACTATTGTTCCTGTGGGAGCTATAGGATATAGACGTCCGATCGGCACGCGCTTTTACCTTGATCAAGGTATGCATAAAAAAATACGATTTGGAAAAATT